ACAGAGGTGCTGTTACTCCAATTCAACTAAAGAATTTTCATTCTATTAATAATTTAATTAGTAATAAATGATTAATTTAATCTTTATCATGACATTGTGCAAAAATGTCACAATGACCCTAATGACCTTAAATAGTGGGTGCATTCAAACTCAAAATTCTTTATTAATCTCACAGAGATCAAGAGCGGAAGAATTGATGACGAGGTTCTGTAGGAATTTTTCTCTTAAATGGAGTACAAAGCAGTGGTTGGTGAGGACGAGAACAGTGACGACCAATCAACCGAATCCAATTACTTATTATCACACAAAGTCTGACATATATTCTTAATTTCCTATATTTATTGTTGCAGACATTGTCATCTCTGCGCTGAAACAACTCTGTCACGTTTACGTCAGTCACATGGTCAAAGCAGATTTCTGGGGAATTCCCCCATCTGATGCGTCCTTAGGAAATTTGTGCAAACCACAGAGGGGCAAATGGAGAACACACAATGTTTTATCTGCAATGACACTTTCAGTTAGTTGATGAGCTCCTCATGACATCTCATCCCTGAAGGCTGCTTGAGAATGACTGACTGAGACAAAGTCAAAAGACACAAATGACAACAAGAAGCTTCTTTCTGACAAAGTCAAAATCAAACTTGATCAATTTTCAAGATTCAAATATCATTAATGCAGTTTTGTTCATTGTTTGTTTTACTTCTGTGTAATTTTTTCTCAAAAAGTTCAAAGATTTTTTTGTCAACACCTTTCTTATATTCAGTGTCATTCTAGAGACTTTCATTAAGAGTTTTTTCTTTGTCTTATTTCTCAGATCCTGAGTGATCAAAACTAAGAAATCACCAAGACACATAGCAAACTGAACCAGTACAGCCGCTCACTATTATTGCAACTTTTCCAGCACCATCAACAACTGTTTTTCCATGATCTTCCTGTCAGCAGTGCTGAGAAACAGGATTATGGAAGCCATGTGAACTTAGTTCTGTCTGTAAACCAATGGCCTATTTGTGCTCTGATGCTGATAAGATGGGCATCAAGGTGTTTGGAAATGTTGAAATCCCCCGGTCAAAATTAACATTATTAAATCTGAAACCCTTTCTTTAAAGTCAAGAGTGAGACCAAGTAAACTTCCGAGGAGCATTAAAAATATTTCTACTTCTGTAATGTCTTTTATTATTTCCTGTTTTTACTTTGTGTACCAAGGTTATTACCTATAGTAGAAAACAAACCCAAATTTTCCAAATAAGGCTTGGATATGAGAAGAAATAAATGTGTTTCCACAGCCATTGAGGAAGCTTTACTGTAAATGGGAAGGAAACAATCTCAGGGTTTCCACAAAGAGGATGGACTGACATTCTTTCCTGTTCTTCACAAACAGGATAGGGATTTATGAGGTTTCAGTGGAAACAGGGCATATGTTAAGTGGGAAGTTGTTGATTAGAGTGTGAGCTCAGCATTTTAGATTTTAACATTTCTGTAGTTCACATGTGAATTGAAGTGTAGTGATAAACAAATGAACAAGTGTTTTCCCTGAAAATGTTGTATTTTGGAAGGCATTTTATGGTATCTAACAAGCTAACAGAAGGGGAACTGCCAAGTTGGGCGGGTGTGGAACTTCACTCCCTGCAGCGGGAAAAAACGACTTTGGAAAGAAAAGGAGACGAGTCAGCAGGAAAAAAAGTTGCTGATATGGGAGGAAACTCTTCTAAGTTCCAAATATCACTCTGGATCGTTCTAATATCGCTTACTGAGATAAAGGAACATCTGAAAATATACTTTTTAGTCTGTAAAAACAGATCTAGAAAGCTTATTATGTTCATGCAAAAAAAAGACACTGTTGAGACCTTATTTAACACTATCCTTAATCATAAATAATACATGTTGGCATTATTTCAGAGGCTATGAAAGGTGAAATATGGAGAAACCGATGTACTAGTCTTGCAAATGGTGGACTGTTTGCCAAGCAAACGGTATTTCAGTGAAATTACATGCAAAGTGGAAATTTAAAAATCATGATAATATATGACTCAATGTGAATCACCATCAAGCTAAGTTGCACTGCACCCTTCAAGATCTGCTGACATGGCATTAATGCCACAAATCTCTTACTCTTACTACTAATTTTATGGAACAGCTTGTGTATTGAGACCTTATTTAACACTATCCATAAGGTAGTAACTTGATGATCTGAAAACCTACCCATAAGATTACACATTTTTGACATGCGATAATAACAATCTTAAATATTGAATGAACTTAAAACCCCCTTTTCATAAGTTGTTCAATCATTTAAAATTGGTGGAAATCTAGTAACTCCTTTAGCAAACCTTATTTTCATATTGTACTATATGCATTTCCTCTTAGGATAAAAGTTCTGACAGATAATCAAACTACAGAGACTGGCATCAAAGCTGCAGTGGGTGGATGTGTCATAGGTGTTACTGGAAAGGAGACTTTTAGTGACGCACAGTCCCAACGTGCTGGGATATGCTTTAGAATCAAAAGAGATACTGTGCAAAAAATATACATTGGGAGGAAGTGAAGTTTTCTTTTCACCAGCTTCTCTCTCACTTTACTTATAGTTAATCCACTTCCCCCTTCCCTCTGTCCCATTCCTAACCGTCTCACATTCCTTTTCACTTTCTCATTCAGGCCTCAGGCATTGAAGTTGTGGAGGTTTTTAAGTACCTGGGTGTTTATTTCAACAATTACCCGAACTCATGGGCAACATCCTGTGAAGTACTGTTTACCATTGTGTTGTTTGCTCTACAATGCACCATGCTGTGGTCTGATCGAGTTAGACAGAACAAGCTGGCTAACAGAGCCAGATCCAATAACAGTCAAGGTGGAGCTCTTCATGTAAAGATTTCCAGTGGAAATACCACTGTCATAACATTTGTTAAAATACATAATAAACAGCAGCAATTAGTTTATGGATTAACAGTTCAGGCAGAGACAGAGAACATATCTGAGCTAGAAGCCAAACTTACACATTCTTCAAATCTTTGTATCTAGCTACAAACATGCTCTATCAGAATATGTTTGGGGTTCCATATGGTTGAAATTCTGAAATATATTTGGACAGATGTGTACGCTACTGTTACACATTGTACTATATCCACAGACAGACAAAGTTAAGGTCGTGTCTGCTTCACACTAGGCTGCGTGATTCTCAACACAATGGGCCTCTGATTACTCTCTGTTGGGTTCACTTCCACAGACGGTTCACAAGAATGAACAGGCACTGGGTTTTTCTATCCATTCTTAAATGGTTTTATAAAAAAAAATAATAATAAAATAGCGCACGCAGACAATTTTGCTTGTTATCTGCAGTTCAGTGTCTTAAAATCACCAGTCTAAACTTATAAAAGTTTGTTTGTAGTCTGGTTTTTAACAATGTTTACAATACTGACCAACATTACCAGATTTTCACCCCCCGAATGCTACTTGAAAGTAGGTGGAGTTGTGACAGGAACGTTTGGATTTCAGACAAAAGACCAACGCAAAATAGTTCACAACTGTTAAGTCGTTGGAAAATTATATTTAGTTTTAATTTGTTTTACAAATGTAAATAATTAGTGTGGCTTACAAATGTATTGAAGCCTCTTTTATATGACATTCCTAAATTAAAGTGCAATCTTTGCAGAAAGCTCCTAATCAGTTCATAGAGTCTGCATGTGTGCATTTGCTCTCAGAAAATTTTGTGAAGACCCCTGAGGATTATAAGTGAACAAATTGTGTTGCACCACTATTCCATATTGTGCATTGTGTTACCATCTATCTATTTATGCTCAGTGAGTGTTTCTTTGCCTGGGGTAGTAGTCAATACGAAATCTCAAAGAACTGCTAGCTTAGATAATCAGAATGTTAGGTAATCATTAATTGTTACAATCTGCATATTTACTACAAAACAAAACCAAATGGAAGTGCGTAAACTGTGTCCAAGAAGCACCTCTGAGATTAGGTTAGAGTGCTGGGAGGTGAATGAAGGATTGCTGATAGCTTGTACCGAGCTGCTGTTGTCATGGCCTTTGAGAGGCACTACCCCTCTATCGAAATAAACTGTCTGTCCTCTTAACCAAGGCATGGAGCTCATATAATGAATGCTTTCAATATTTGTGGCTTGGTTATGCCTTTTCACACAGTAATTCAACAAAGTATTTAAGTAACTAAATGTGAATGCCTGGGTTCGCACAGGAAGAGGATGCAGTAAGAAACCACTAGAATGGGGAAACGGAAAAAAACAAAAAAAATTCTCTGAGGGTTCCAAAACTACAATAAAAAAAAGTGACCTCGTACATGAAGTGCAATGAAGAATAATCAGTTTTTGCTGTGGGGGTTTCCAATTTTTGGGACCACAGAGTCAACAGGATAATAACTTTATCATGTCTCGTCCTGTCTTGTCCTGTCCCGTCATGTCCTGTCCTGTCCTGTTCTGTCCTGGCAGTAATTATTTTTGAATTCATGGAATAAATTACTGAATGTACACTTATGGAGCTAAAGCGGAAGTTCAGACTGGAAGACTCCGCCCCCTCCATTCGCCCATCGACGTCATGCTCATCTCCGACCTCAGCACTGGACCTCACCAGGCGCGTTCAATCAGCAATCAGGCTCTGCATAAAGGATCCACACCCAAGCCGTCAGCCGCTTCCCAGCTGCGTTCAACCCACCACCTCCCCTTCTCCACCCACATCCTTCAGCTCTCTAGGATGGCACCCTTTCCTGACCACCACCACCAGTGTCGGGCCCCGGCGGGAGAGCATCCCTAATCAGTTATCGGGATGTTCATCGAGTTCACATCAAATCTCAGCTCGAATTTGCTGCCGGGGTCCGAGTGCCAAAGAACTGTTATTCATTCCTGTCATTAAATCTTTTAATTGTTCCCCTTTTGTCCGTCTGAGTCTTTCCAGATTGAACTATAGTTTTCCCGTGATCTGAGATTATAAAAGGACTTGAGTGTTTGATTCACATCTCCGCCTTTACATATTCATACAACAGTACATTTTTATATACATTACTTTATTGTTAAAAATTGGATTTTTTCCCCCTTTTTTATCTGAAAATGTTACATTGCAGTGATGTTTTGGAATCTTTCTCAATGAAAAGGATTTCTGTTGTTCTGCAGAGTAGATAAAACCACCCGAGAACAATAAACAATTATGAAAAGAAAGACAAGTCAGGAGGCGAATAACAGATAGTATCTTCACCAGCCTCCAAAGCAGACTGTAAACTGAATTAACTCCATTGTGTCCTTCCTGAACAACTTGTATTATGTCTCTGTTGTGATAAAATGGAACACAACAGGAAAACCTAGAAGCTCAAAGGATAAAGCTTTCTCAAGAACTTTAAACTGTGTGTTCTTTAAATTACTGAAATAATTTATAACATATGTAGAAAAATGGTTTACAACATAAATAGTACATACAAAAATATTTACAACTTACTTAGACGAATTACAAAAATGACTATAAAAAAGTGGTTCTAAATATTAAGCTTTGACACAATACAATAGTATTACAATAGGTTTGGTCTTCTATTAAAAGTGCAAAAATAAAACTATAAATGAAAGCCACTTGTTTTGTCCAATGCTAGTTGGTAAGGCACTCAGAGTTTGGCAATCCTTCATCTGCAGTAGATGTCCTAACAGATGGGCCCATTCCCAACAGATCTAAAAACAGAGACAAGAGAGCAAAGAGAAACAGTTTCATCAGAGTTGCTTTTCCATAGTGGTGAACAACGAAAACTGACAACAGTGATGTTTCTTCTTGTTTCAGTGTGAGATTCATGTCAGTACTTCACATTTCATAAACAAGTTAAACAGGATTGCTTGGTATTCTGATGGTCTGAGGTCAGAAAATACATATGAAATGGATACCTGAATGAAGAAGGACACTTAAAGACTTTGGAACTGTAATAACTCCGGCTTCAGGTCTTCTCCAGTGTCATATGAGCTATAGTGTCATCAAATAAGGAATTTGTGTGAGAATTATTGGGCTGTAATATTTATTTAAAAAAAACAAAAAAGTTGTAATGCATTTGTAATTAGCATTCCAGGGAATTAAATGTTAGTCACTGTAATAGACATATTTTTGAGAAAAATATTAAAGTACTGAAATCCAGTATGATTTGACAGAATGAATGGCCCCTTTCACCCGATTATACATTAGTAGAATGTTTAGCAACCTTGAAGAAAGCAGAGAGTGTAGCCCAGTCTAAACTGTGTGTTTTGTCTTCACTTCAAGACCAGATGACAAAAAAAAATCCTGAACATCCTTCAGCCTGTGAAAAGGTTTCAAAGCTATTTCTAAGACTTTATGACTTCATCAGAGAGTCATTACCTTCTATGCAAAACCTGGCATGGTGCTAAAGTTTCGCAGAAGTGGCCGACAAGCTAAATTCCTGCAAGAGCACATCAAAAGCAACCCTTTCCCAACCCTTGTCTTCAAGACACTTTGCCCTTTTTAGGTGTTTCCTTGCGTCAGCCCATCTGATTTAAATTAATGGTTGAATCACAGGAGTTTTCCAAACTGCTTTCAATTGTTTCCTGAAAGCAGGAAAAAATCTAAAACACGCAAGGTGGCGTGCCTTGATCACCAGGGTTGGGAACCACTGATCCAAAGCATCTGCAGTGCACCTCCCTCAGTGAAGGTCAGAGTTCATGACCCAACAAAAAATGACATTTATGAGAGAGTTTGAACGTAAATACAAAAGACATAATGAGTTTTAATGGTTAGAGGCATTAAAATCTCTAAATGCCTTTTTACATTGGTTTGTTATTAAAAACCAATTAAATCACTACATAACATAACTCCTGAAGATGAATGCTTGTACATTGTTTCAGTGCTTTTCAGTGAATTTAATAGCTTACAATGGAATCAAGTGGTCAACCTTACTGTGCATTTACATGTGAACATGCAGAGGTTGAAGGGACAGAACATGCAAAGGTGAACATTAACATAAAAAAAGAAGAATTATAAAGACATGCAGTTGTTAGTAAATATAAAATTATAAAATTACTCACCCTTTTCTTCTCATAAGAAACTTCTTTAAAAAGAATGCAACTAGGCAGAGTACTGTGAAGAAAATGAAACAAAATATACCTTTTTTTATAATTTTCCATTTCAGACATAGAGAATAGTAATATTAAATTCAAACAGACACTTTAATCCATGTTACCTATTGTAACAACCACCACACTGATTATAACAGCTGCATGTCCTGTAATGACAGACAAAATAATGTTAAAGCCCAACCAATCATAATGCATGTTTGGATTTCAAAAAAATAACTCACCTTTATCTTTGTTTATATTTAAAGTCTCTATATTCTGTTCTGTAAGAACAAATTAGTGCTGTTAGTGGATTTACAACATTACAGTTAAGATCAGATTTAGTCTTTAAGGTTAAACATCAACACACATAAAGATTTACAATGCTTAAGAGAACTGATAAAAAATAATACTAATTCTGACTCTAATGAAATATAACATAAATAGTAACAAAGTATAAAAACAACACAAAGTGTTTTCTGATAAACCCTAAATCAAACTACACCATCATGTCTGCTTGTAACACATTAAACTACAATGAAAAATCAACAGGACACTTTTGGCAGCAAATATTAAGACTTAGTTGTCTTTTATGGATCTTTCTTTGCTAATGTTTTCACACAAAAATTCACCATGTTGTACTTTTGCAGTTTTGATCTGTTCATAAGCAATTCTACGTAGATTACTGATGATTTACAACCAATAGTGTGAAGTCATGTTCTATGATCTATAGAGTGCACTGTTAGGAAATGGATAAATAATAGGTACTAGCAGAAAATTACAGTTTCACTAGGAGGTCACAATGTCATTTTTCATAATAGTCAACTTTATCAAAACCACAACCATTAGAAACAGGCTGTAACATAACACTTTCAGAAAATATGTAATTAAATTAAACGTGAGATAAAGTGAGACAGGAGAATTTAGCTCTACAATTCATCAGAATACTTTACTACACAGATAAATAAACTGATATCCAACTGCTGGTTGTCAAGTGGTTTTATGTTTACAGGTAAAACACAGAAATATGTTGGAATCAAAATGGCAAAAAGTTGGCAAGAAATTGATTTATGAACTGACAAAGGGAAGAGCAAGAGAAATGTGTTGCCATAAAAACAATATAAAGCCCCAAAGTAAAAAAAAAAGCACTTACAATGTCTCAGAACAAATACATGCAAATAATGCAAATAAAAAAAAAACATGTTATTGTTTTAGGGGGAAGACATATGTTATTACAGTAAAGGCATTAAAGGGGAAACTAAATTAAAAAAAAAAAAAACTCACTAATGACATAAGCTTTGTATGACTCGTTTAATTTGCTATGATCAGCAGCTTCTACATTGTCTTAGAAATGTAATGTAATTTCCTTTACTGGTGTCATACTCAAAACACATACAATCAATACAAAAAAAAAAAACAATAAAAAAAACCTTGAGACAAATTTTATGTTCAAAAATTGCCTACCAGCTTGAGTTAAAATACATTTTAGAGCTTTTTAAAAGAAAAATTTGGATACCTTTTTTTGAAGTACTGGCTGTAGTATTAGTTTCCTCAGATGATCTTATTCTGTAACCTTTAAATGACAAAGTTAGTACAGTTATCATATATTTCCTAATTTGAATGAAATAAATGTGTTTAATCAATCAGAATAATGATTTCCAACATCCATGCAACAAATATGGAGGCAGGATTACAAGTGAACATGTTTCTGTACCTTGTTTCAGTGTTGAGATATTTGTGGATGGTCTAGCTGTGACAGTTGTGGCTTTGTGAAAAGTTGGTGTGACAGTCATACCATTAGCAGTGGATGTTTCTGTTACATAAAAATAATTATCATCTAAGGCTGAATGAGGGACTGTTTATTGTGAAGGAGTAAATTTAAAATATACATAAGACTGTGAAAAAGTATTTGCCCTCTTCAAGAGCTCTGTTTCTATTCCATCACAGTCAGCATATTTGTTTTAAATGCCAGTTGCCAGGTGTACACTAGTGCTGGGTTTTAAAAATTGATTTGATTTGAATTGATTTTCCTTTAAATGGCCTGATATCAATACGTAAAACTCTTGCATTGATCCTGTAATATGTCTTTGTGACTTCTCAATGATGGGCAGTAGTTGTGACAACACTAATTTAAAAAACTGTGGTAATTTAAGATTGAAAAGCACAGGCACTGTTGACATGACATCCAATATTCTCATTCGTTTTTAAATTTTGCAAAAAGCGTTCAGTGACACAAGTTCTGTCAGTTTCAGCTCAGCTTGCAAGGCGTTTCAAGCAGAGGGTAAAGAAATGCTAAAGGCTGTTTTCAGTTTATACACGAAGAAGATAAAGACGCAAACTGCCACTAGTGCATAGGGCAAAACCGGTTTCTGTTTTCCGAATGAATGCATAAATACTGAGAAAACAAGCCAACAAGAGACTTGTACGCCAGAGTCGTCCAGTGTGTATATCACCTGATATGCAAGGAAGACATGCTAGCTTGAGAATACAGATCACACTGGGTGAGGTAGCTACAGCCAGTGATAAATCTCAATCTACAGTGATACACTGGAATTGAGGACAGCTGTTTGAAGCACACACATACACCAGATCACTATAATCAAGTACAGACAAAACAGTAGTTGTGATCAAAAGCTACAGCCAGTGATAAATATCAATCTATAGTGATACACTGGAATTGAGGACAGCTGTTTGAAGCACACACATACACCAGATCACTATAATCAAGTACAGGCAAAACAGTAGCTGTGATCAAAAGCTTCCGAGCTTCCGAGGGAGAAACATGATTCGTTTTTGTAGGAAAACCCAAGTTTCATCTTTAGCTTGGGTTTTACTACAAGCTAAGAAAAAAAAATCAGGTCATAGTGTGTTAATTTTTTATTTTTTTTTTTTATCATTTTAGCCTACTTCATGTTGGCATTTAGTTTCTATTTAAGTAATCGGACTGGGATGTGATGAGTGACATTTTTATAAAATGTGGTTAATATATCAATTATTTAACGATTTTATAAGGGGAAAAATTACTAGTCTCCTATAAGCCAGTTTGGATCAGATCTTTTCCTTCATATTTTTGATTATTAATAAGTGTTTTAAAGAAATCTGTCATGGGGCAAACACTTTTTCACAGAACTTTATACAAATCCTGTTGTTAATATGTCACAATGTACAATGCAAACATGTAACTGTGGAAAAATAGATTTGTTGTGCATTCTATACCTTGTTCTGTTGTTGTGGGAGCAGTTGTAATAATGTTTGTTGTAATTTTGCCTTCTGTGGTCAAACCTATAAATAAGCATTCAGCTGAGATTATCCTGAATTCATATCTTCTGCATAGACTAGATGTGCAACATGCAGGTCATTTTAATTTGACATGCACAGCAAACTTTACAACTGACAGTCATGCAGCATGCATTTGATTGTAGGTTTTATTCATAGAAAGTATCTATTTATGTTGCAATCTCATATTCAAAACTGTTACTACTGCCACTCTGAACTTGGATGATATGTTAGCAAGACACATTATGATGAGTGACAAACAGTTTAGTGGTTAGTAAGTTTGAGGTAAAGTACCCTGAAGTGTTTAGGAGTGAATGGATGATCCAATTAGTACAGAACCCACAGTGGATAAGCACAGGCGTAAAAGGGCAAATAGAAAAGAATGGTCACATCCTTTAGCGCTCAAACATGAAAGCCAGGTTATTGTGCTAGGTTTCCATGGTGATCCCTTGGCAACTTCTGCTGTAAAGTGTGTACACTGTCTTCAGCTTAAAAATAAACTTATTTAATTTAATTTCATATTAGTTTTACAATTGGATAAAATGAGAAAGAGCAAGCAGAGATGGTCTTGTGACACGCCTTTAATGCTTGTTAAAAAGCATGTTTGAGCACAACAACAACTGCAAACCCAGAAGATATTTCAAACCATGAATAAGGCTTTCAGAGGAATGAATTGCATTCCAGGCTGCCACTATTTGACCGCTCTTCTAGGCTATAAGTAAACAAACTTAGAAAGGCTTGAAGTGGGTTTTTTATGCAATACAACCACAAATTACAGCATTGTTTCATTATTGTTAAACATTATTACATGTAATATAGGATCCTAAATTCTCCTCTTTTACAATTTCACCGTGTGTCAAGAACAAAGGTATGTTTGCCTCTTCTATGGAACAATTTGCATTTGAACTCATACTAACGTTTGCTTTTTTTGATTATGTTGGAATTCTAGAGACTTTTTTCAAAAACGTATTAAACAAGTGAAAATGAACAGTTAGTCATGATGAGAGTAGGTTTCCTCTCTGGATGAATCATTGTCAGTTTTATACGGTGGTGAAAAAAAAACAAATAGTTGAAAGATGGTTTGCATTATTCACAAAAGTATTTGCAAACTGTTTGTATGTTGTCTTGGCTAATGAATCTTCTGTGAAGCCTGAAATAAAACACAAGAACTTACCAATGCATTGTGGAGGCTCAGAATCATATTTGCCGGTTTTGGTACACTGAATAGTTTGATTCCCAAGCATGGTGTATCCTGCTTTACATGTGAAATGTATAGTTTGTTGATATTCTGGTTTATTGTCACTCTTCCAAGAATGTTCGCCATTTTCCACTTCGATTGGTTTGGAACAAGTAACAACTGAGAAAATGAGAAAAAGAAAATTGGTGTTACATGTTCAAACATGTAATAGAAACAACTGTGTAGAAAAAAGAAAATAGCTCAAACTGAACAACACTTACTGTTACATGATGCCTTTCCAAACCACCCTTTTGTAAGGCACTGTTTGAAGCTTGATCCACTGATCTGGTAACTGTATAAAGACAAAAGAAATAAAAATGAATGATAGAATCTGATGAACCTTAAATAAAGTTCAGCTTTGCGAGAAGGGCTTAATTTTTAACAATTAGGCTACGAATTTTATATTTTGAATTTACTCTTTTTAGATAGAGTCATTCTCTTCCCTTTAAGTAGGATGTAGACTAGCTTTCTTCCCAAAAATAACATTGGCTATGATCCCAAAATCCTCATGGAAGAATGTGGTATGAGCCGATGAAACCATATTTTAAACTACTGGGCCAACATTCCAAGAAGTAAGTTTTAAAAACACAGCACGTAATAAAAGAATCCAGAGTAAAATATGGGGGCAGCATATTTTTTTTTCTAGATGGAGACAGACTTTTGTTCACAGTGGATGAAACACCAGTCAGCGTTGGGTGACACCAAAAACTTTTAGGTGGATGCTAGAAAACTCAAAAAAAATAAAGGGAACATTCAAATAACACATCCTAGATCTGAATAAATGAAATATTCTCATTGAATACTTTGTTCTGTACAAAGTTGAATGTGCTGACAACAAAATCACACACAAATCATCAATGGAAATCAAATTTATTAACCAATGGAGGCCTGGGTTTGGAGCCACACACAAAATTAAAGTGAAATGTTCCCTTTATTTTTTTGAGTAGTATATATATATA